CTTAGCAAAGGAACCTTTTCTTTTATTCATATTTTTATGTATTTGGAGTAATCCTATTTTGAAAGTGTACCAGAGGAGTAACATTTAAAGGTTTATATTTCACTCTATTTTGGTTGCCTGTATTAGCTACTTAAGTCCAACTTCAGACAACAGAGAAGCAGATAAAATGTGCTATTGCATTTCATTATTCTCTTAAAAAATATTTGGCTTTTTTTTCTATGATTTTTTTTAAAGTTTTGAAAGTTGGTCAAGCCAAAACCTGATACTGGAACTTTTACAAACAAAACTCCTACATTTTCTGCTCGTCATTACCTCATGACTGACACTGAAGAACAAGTCAAACTATATAGAGAATTCTGTATTCAGAGTTAAGGAAGTTTAAATATCTTTTCTTGTTTTTACAATGTGTGTCTTCAAAACTGTTTGATAGAATTGAGATGTTTGTATCATCCTCATTAGCAAGATAAGTAGTGGGCACAGTCTAGGCTATTTGAAGATCAATTGCACAATAACTGAGTCTAACGTAGCTCTGTACTTTTATCATATGGCAATAACTGTGTATACATTTAATACCTGTGCTTCAACATTTAGATGATAGAACTGGCCTGAGGAGACAAGGATTAGGTGTACTTTTTTTTTTTTAAAACATGATTGATTAGAATCAGGTGAATCATATGTATTTAATCCAAATTGTGGATCATTGCAGTACTGATAAAAGGATAGTATGATTTAAACGGTTAGTGTCATATTTTAGTCAGTCTGGTATGGCAGGATTGACAAAACAAATCTTTACAAAACAAAGAACAGGTATGCCTCATAATGCTCTGATTTTGGTAAAATCACAGGAATTTAGCATCGAGAATTTATATTACCCAAATCTGGTTTTGAGATTATACTTTCAAATGCCTGTTTTATATATCAAAGTACACAGATATACTTTGTATGAATACTTGTATGAATATATTTGTACATAACAGAGATGTAGATGCATATGTAAATGGATTTTTCTTCATATGGGTATACAGTGCAGGGATATTTTTTTTATCTGCATATAATTTTTTTCAAGCATATTAATGTTGTATCATGGCATTCAAGGACACTGTGCATGGTTATTGCTAATAAAGGAAGGAAGAAAAAAGTGTATTGTTTGTGACTGAATATTTTATTAATATGGTACCATAACTGTAGGTATGATTGCAGAACAGCTGATAATTTAGATAGACATGTTTAACGATAACTTATATACCATGATAAAACATATGAGGTGTCTTTTAGAAGTGTTGTAATGGTTTTCTAGATCTGGTTTTTAAGCAGGAAATTACTAATATTTTGTTACATGATATGTAATTGCCCTAAAACCAACATGTTCATTAAAGGATAGATTTAGACCTGTTGTTGTGGAGGGGTTTTTTAAGACTGCATAGCTTAAAATAAGCCAGAAATTCTCTAAGTGACTGAATTTCAGGGTGTCTTGCAAGGTTTGATGCTTATTTATATCCTCAATAATCAGTGGAGGACATTAGGGAACATTACTTTTATAATTTCTTGCTTTAATATTAATACTCATCTCAAGAAGTAGTATGCTAATAGAATAATTAGTACTTTTTATCACTACTTATATTATTTCTAGTGGAAGCAATCATATCCAGTATTTATCAGACATGAGAATGTACAGAACACTCTGAATACAAACACGTGGCCCAAGACAGAATGGTTAGGGATCTCTTAAAGGATTAAGGCCCCATGCTGATCTCAGACTGCTTTAGATAATAGAGAGACAGACTTCTTAGTATTTTTCCTACACTACCAGAGTGTAAGGTGTCATAGATCATGTACAGAAGGTTCTATATCTTTATATGCCACATAAAGAATAAAAGCCCAGAGGATGAAGGAATAGCATTGCATTATTTATTGGTAGCTAATAGCAGTCTTAATGAATGATTCATCATTACAATCAATAAATTGATTAAATACCCATTGTATTTGATGATACAATAGTAACTTTGCTAATAATTTTTAAATAAATGTATTAACAGCTGAGCAAGTTTTTTAATTTCTCTTTCCTAAAAATATGGCAGCAGAATGCTCGGAGGGGAATGGTAAGTTAGAGAACTTTCAGTCTGAGACAGACTGTAACTTAGATTACATTGAGATAACAGACTTGTGATAAAGATGTTAAATGGAGACTTCAAACACATTCAACTTCACTAATCTGTTATATTTTTGACCCCTTCATAGGTTTCTTGACAAAATAGCATTTTGGTTAAGAGGCAATGATGTGCTGTTGTATTTTGCAGTTAATTGGTATAAAAGACTAAATGTAAGCATTCACATGTATATAATAATTGTGTAATATATATGTGGGAAATTTTTCTCTGTAAGTTTTAGAATCTCAATGAATGTGTGGCTGGATATATACCCTCAGTTGATAATCACTTGCATATCCTACTGAAGTTTTATTTGACTGGTCCTCATCAATTTTTTTTTAATCTGTTTGTAAGAAGAAACTTTTGGATAGACCTATGACAGAAGTTTGAGGCAGTCATAAAATCCAAATTTGCATTATGAATCAACTTCTTGGTTTGCGTCCAGTTGTAATGTGTAATAAATACTATTTGCAAATTTACAATAGTTAGAGGATTTCATGTTAGTATTTTCTGCAAGAATTTTAGATCTCTTCTTTGAGATAGTTTTAATACATTTTCTTTGGGTATTCTGAGGTAAACATGAGTGGATTACTTTTATGGTAATTTCTAATAAATTAAATGTAATTACCATTTTGTCTTTACTTTCCTTCAGTGTATGTCTGCAGAGCCATGTCTGTGCAGCATCCACATATTTCACACAATTGAAATTGTGCATTAGAATCTTCTATTTGTCTGAGTTAAGGTATTGAAGGTTCTAAGATGCTAAACTTCTAAGACACAATTTCATGATTAGTCTTTCCTCTTTCTTGATTTGCAGGTTTTTTTAACTATGTGATAAAAGTACAGAAGGCCATAAAAAGATTTTGTGTCTTCAACATTTTGAGGCTTATTCATGTATCACAGAAAAATGAAGTTACTATTAGGGCTATGACAGAAGTGGGCACGTGTGTGTGTTTATGTATTTTTCTGCTTGATTTTAACTACTAGTTTTCTATAGTATTTTACTATGCCTGGTCAAGGATTCTTCTGAGTGACAGCTGTTTGGGGTTTTTTTTTTGCCATTTTGCCATAACTACATTTTGAGGCTTATTCATGTATCACAGAAAAATGAAGTTACTATTAGGGCTATGACAGAAGTGGGCACGTGTGTGTGTTTATGTATTTTTCTGCTTGATTTTAACTACTAGTTTTCTATAGTATTTTACTATGCCTGGTCAAGGATTCTTCTGAGTGACAGCTGTTTGGGGTTTTTTTTTTGCCATTTTGCCATAACTACATGATTTGATTCTTCTGAGTGACAGCTGTTTGGGGGGGTTTTTTTGCCATTTTGCCATAACCACATGATTTTGCTGTTAATTTCTTAAGATTGCCTAACACAATGATAATATAGTGTCAACTATGAAATACATGTTTATTTAAGTGTATTTATGGTATTAACATAATAAACAGAGGAAAAAAACTCTATGTATGAGAGTTACAGCTGAATTTATAGTATTGTTCTCAAAATGGGTACTGCAAAGAGATACGAGCTGAAGTTTTCTCTTCAAAACCGTAATGAGCTATGCAATGGGAAAATACATCCATAAATGAACTGTTACACCTTCACAGGGATAGTTTGATTTTCAAACATATTTTTTTCAATTACATTATGATAGGGAAAAGATGGAGAAAGAGCTACTTTGGTGAAAATGTGAATATTTTCCATTATTGGACTATCCAGAGTTCTAGACACTTCCTTCTTTTAACAAAATTGGGAAAAGATGCAGTAATTAGTATATTACTAGGCTTACTTACTATATGTACTTCCTTATGTGCTCAAGGAACAAATGGTAGTTGTGGTAGAATAGCCACAGAAATTCAGAAGTTCAATCATTTAATAAGGACTGAGCTGATTTCACTAAGATCTCATTTGGTTATAAGCTTACAGTCTATTGTTTTAACTACAAAATTAATATATTGTCCTGATAAAGTTGAGTAAGTTTATTACTAACTTGTAAAATTATCATCTTTTCATCTCTTTTACTTATATTGTTTCCCTTTATTTTTCTTTCATACAGGCCATGCAAGTAAAGGTACAGGTCAAAGTGCATGATGTGGTTTTGTCTTAGATTTAGAGATGATCAGGCTCCAAGCATTCTTTCCATTGATCATAGCAGTGGCGTCACAAAGTGAACGTCCAGGTTCCACCTACTATTAATTTTGTCCAAGTTAAAGTAGCAGCTGAAATTCCCTTTGGCACTCCCACATGTTGCTTAATGTGAAAATATAGTAAAGTTACCTTTTGTAACTATTTCAGATGTACATTCCACCTCTGCTGCCTTTCTGCATTCTTTTATTTTTTGAGACTAAATTGAAGTAGAAATTGTAAAAGCAATGTCTAAGTAGAGTCATCAGAAACATGTGTTTGGCTTATGATATTCAAGAATATATGGGAGAAATGTGCTATAACCTATACCCTGTCTATAGAGGAACAGAAGATTGTATTAAAACCAAGAAGTTCAAATAAGATACAGAGTTCAAATCCTATGTTTTTCTAAAAGTAAAATGATCTTTGCCAAAACTGTGAGGTGTGACAAAGCTATGAATAATCCTTGTTTCTTTCATGTATTTAATGTATCTGAAGCTTTCTTTTCCTCCAGTGAACCATAGGTACGTCACCTTCCTTTGCATCATTCATATAATTTTTTGTAAGTATGAATTTCTAATATAGATGAGTACTTTCTGACCTATGGTGTGTTCTTCATCGGTGTCGCAGAATGACCAGCAAAATGGAACGTAAACGCTTTCATGTTTCCTTTCACCCTGTGTGCTGAGAAGCATGCATGATGCTCTGAAGAGCTTTTAATCAATTAAACTGGAGACATAAGTTAAAAAGTGAGAAGTTCTGTTACACTAATAACCTGATTTCATGCCTTGCTATTGTCAAATATCTCCAGCCAGAAAGAGTAGGATTTAATGAATGCTGTCATCATCTCAGAGAATTGAAGGTTTAAAGAGGGTTGGAAATACTAAAAATATTACTTCCATAATCTTAACCAGTTTTAGCTGATTTTCTTTTTAGTGTAAATAAATTATAAGTGATTTCTTTTTTTTGCATTGTATATATTTAGTTATTATGAATGTACTGAGGAATCTGTAATTCTTTTTCTCTACTTGTTTTTTTAAGAAATATCCATTTGTGTGTTTAAATCTTCAGACAAGTAGATCTTTACGTGTTGCTAGGCAACTAAATTATATCATTCTTGCTGTTGAGGTCCTTTAAACTCAGTTAATTATTTAGGCAAAATATATCCAATTTAATGCTTTTTACATATGGAATGAAGGTATTGTGTTTGCTCATATAGGTGCATATATGGAAAGAGACATAATTTTGTCATTTAGGTTTCTGTCTGACTCTACTTATACATTTATCAGCTGAATATGTGAATCCACAGACAGCAGAATTTATGGCAAAGGCTGAATGGATCTTCATTTTTCTGTTTTGATGATGTTCAAGTTTTAAGGTTCACCTATCTTGTTCATACCTAGTTCATACCTCATATGAACATAAAGAAAATTGGATGTGTGAAGTGTCCTCAGGCATAAAAGATGCAGAAAGCAGTACCTCTCCTTCTATTCCTCTTTTTTTAAAAAAATATATCTATTACGTATTTTGTTATTCCTTATTTAAAATGCATAGTGACGCCACTGGAATACAGTGATCCATTGTGGGATTCGTTTGTCTGCTGTCAACGTAGAGTACAAATAACGTCATTATTATAGCTATTGCATCACTGCTATTTCTAAGGCTCTTCCAAAAGCAAAGATTTGAGACACTCTCTTGCAATTGTTAGTTCCTTAAGAAAGGAAACCACATCCATTATGTGTTCCCTCAGACCTGCAAAATGTTCAACACCAGCTACGTACATAGATATTCACCATCTAGAAGACAGAATTTGCCAAAATTTATCACTGAGTAGAATATGCATGGCTATCTTCTTTTCTTCCAGTGATAACTGTGGTAATAATGAGGTATTAATTGGGAAGTAATGAATTGCAATGGATTCTGCTGTATCCTTATGTGGAACTACACAATACATTATAAGAACAGTAGTCATTAAAACTTAATTGACAGAGGGAAAAGGATGTGGAGGGTTAAATGTAAGCATTTGCTATTCTGTAGTGTTGTATGAGCCTGGAGGCCTAGTCCTGAAATCTTATCTTAGGCAAAACTCCCCTGGAATGTGGTAGGAGTTTAATCTAGGTAGAGAATTCAGAACTGGCCTATTCTATGTTTTTGCTGTTTACTATGTGTTCGTTAAGTATATGGGTCTTTTGTAAAGATTTTGGTTCTCTGTCTCATAAATGAAAAGATGAGTGTGAAATACTGTTGTACAGTGTCTATTGTAAGAAGATAGGGCAGTTGTTATTCTGTTGTGCTGTTTACTTCTCTGTCTCTTTTGTTTTCCTTTTCCTATTGCTGATGATCTCCAAAGATGCAAAAGTTCTAAGTTTTCATCCAAAATTTACTAATATTAACAAAAGCCAAAGGGCAGTGCTTTTCCCAAAGGTACTACTTAATTGACATTTTATTGCATTGATTCAAAGCCTTTTAAATACTGGTATTTTTTCAGATAAGACAAGTCAGGCAATATTCGTTCGTTCAGACTCTGGATAACTACCTTGATATAAATTTCTTACAAAAATGTAAACATCTTGAATATGTCTCTGTAACATTAGAGAACTAATAGTGTCCCCTGAGACTGACCCAGCTTTTAATTTTAGGGTTGTTTCTGATTTGAGAGGTAAGATGCAGAAAATATAGTTAGTCATATTTATGAATGCACACAAAAGTGTGTTGTTCCTATTAAAACATTACTATTATTGTATTTTATGATTGGGGCACACCAAAAGTATTCTGTTACATTTCCCACTCAAGACCGTACACCCTTCCTCTAATGTAGATTTTTGAATTCCTTGTACTACATCAGGAACATCGTTTCCTTGGACCATTAGGGAAAAAGCGTGTTGGAGAAGTGTGTGGTCAGAGAAATACGGTTGTTGACTTCTCTTTTCTTTTTTTTCTTACATTATAGTCTGGAGGACAAGATCAAGAGAGGAAGAAATCAAAACGTAGAGGGGATTTGTACTCCATACAAACATCTTTGATTGTGGCTGCACTTAAAAAGATGCTTCCTATTGGTTTGAATATGTGTACTCCTGGAGATCAAGAGCTCATCTCTTTGGCCAAAACTAGATACAGCCATGTAAGTGTCTGTTTCGTAATAGTTTTTAATGCAAAATAAGCAGAATTTTCTAAACCGAATTTTGAAGCACAGATATCTAAGCAGTCAATATTATTAAATATATCTATGCACTGTACAAAAGTAGAGCTGGTAATTATTGTGCTTTAAAAAATAATGTGGATATACAGCTGCCATCATTACCCTGTTATTTTCCATTTGTATACAATATGCAGTTTTATATTCATATTCATTTGGACAAAATATTGAAATACCATTAGTTAGCTTTAATTACCTTTAAAGTTTAATCTTTATTTTATGGCTAAAGTATGCCTTTGTCCCATGTCCTTCTGGTATCTTATGTACTTTGAAAACCAAAGAGGTTACATTCCAACATGGAAATAAAAGCTATTCTACGTTGTAAAAGTTCTTATGAGATGGATCATAATCTGAATTGAAAAATACTTCTACCTTTCTACAGAGGGACACGGATGATGAAGTCAAAGAACATTTACGTAACAACTTACATTTGCAGGAAAAGGTAATATAAAGCAATTTGTCTTAAAGATGCTGATGTGCACTTTCATAACACAGAAAACATAATTGTTTTGTTTATTGTGATACATTAAGAAAAGACTAGCTGAAAGCTATTAGAAAAAATTGACATTTAAACATTATTCTTCATTATTTTTTTCATTCCAATAAATAGCTTATTTGTAGCTTTGGCTGGTATATTCAAGTTTCAGGAGATCCTATAAAACGGAACAAATGTAAAGAATTGAGACACTGGTAGTCTTAAAGCTCTAATTGCTTAGAATAAACTTGATCCAGAAAGAAAATAAAATTGAAACTGTAGTATATCAGCTTTTATTGTTGAATTTAACTTGCACTAAAGATTAAATAGTATTTCTATGAATATATACAATTTAAAATGACTATAATAAAAGAAAAAAAGCTTGTGTCCCCCTAACACTTATTAGTTTTACAAGCACATTTATATTCCTACAATTTATATACTGAATATACTGTCAAAGCTAATACCAAAATAGAGTCCTCATCATTCTGTAAATAATAAATAATTTCAATCATTGCCTACAGTTTTTGCACCAAATAAGAGTAACTCTTTTATCTGTCATGGAAGATGTCTGTCTGGTTGCTATACATTTATGCTTGCATAAATTTAAATTGGACATACCAAGTAATTTTAATGTTTGGGTTGGGTTTTTTCTATTTCTGTCTTGCAAAATAACCTTTCCCAAAACTTTTGTCTGTAGCTCTTTACCTACTAAAATTGCAGGTATCTTTTCTAGGCTCCAAAAAATCATCTTTACACTGTCAGTTTAGAAGTCCTCCCAGAAGTTAAACTCAATCACAATACTAAATGGTCTTTCTTATTTCTAGTGCAGTTAAGTGGGATACAGAAGTCCCGGGGTCCTTTATTTAGTTTTATGAAATAAAACCACAGAACCATGCTCAAGAATTTAGTTCAATTACCCAACAGTATACAGAATCCAGCGCCATTTTTCTGAGCAGATAGCAGATGTTCAGTTTTCCTGAAAGTGAACAGAAAGTGGGAGTATCTATAACATTCTTTATTATTCTATGAGCGTAGTAGTTGTGGTGGTCAAATTCAGTGTCTTCATTCAGCAGCTTACATATGAAATGTGTTGGGTTTCAGTCTGATGATCCAGCTGTGAAATGGCAGTTAAATCTGTACAAAGACATTTTGAAGAGTGATGGACCTACTGACCCTGAGAGAAATGTGGAGCGTGTACAGAGAATATCAGCTGCTCTGTATCATCTGGAGCAGGTAAAAAGCTAAATGCTTATATTGTATTAGAAAATAATTTTATATTTTTTCCTTGTAGAGATTATTTCATCTTCAGTGAGTGTCATCATGAAAGTGTCCAGATAAAAATTTGGGTTTTGCACATGTGTGCATGCATGCACACATGCACATACAGATGTGTATATATGCAAAGTTTTTAATGTAATCTCTTGAAAAACCTCCATTTAGCTGCAGGGACAACTCTGGATGTATTTGCCTTTGCAAAACTTTTTGAACAGTTGCAAGAAGTGTAGTATACAAATCATCTCCATGCTGTAGCTGAAAACCCTGTGACTTTAGGAAGAGATGTTTGTTTGTGCACTTATTTTTAACACACTGGGTTTAGCCCATCTCCTGTTTCTTCACCTGAGGATGCTGTAGCTATTTTTGAGTCAGTTGCCTGTATCATTTGAATCACACAATTTAAATAGAAAAATGCATTTGTACTCTTCCCACATAAAGTTAAACCTTTTCATTTCGAAGTGATATAGCTCAGAAATTTGTTCACATGAACAATTGAAAACATATTGTTAGAAACAGAATAACCAGTTTGGAATTTTACCAAGGAGTCCCACACATGAGGTACTCTGGCATCTTGAGGTTGTCTGTATAAACTGAGAGGTACTATATAGAAAGCCCCCAGTATTTTTACTTATTAGTTTAAAAATAAAAAAATAAATCCCTCAAAGAATTCTTTTTTCCAGATGATGGGAACCATTTGTAACATTTTCTACTTTGCTAACTATGTTAACCACTAGCTAAAAAAAGAAAATTTTGGATGAAAATTGAAGAGTATATATTGTATGTACTAGAAGATATTTCCCCATAGGTTGAGCAACCACTGAGATCAAAAAAAGCTGTTTGGCACAAACTCCTGTCAAAACAACGCAAAAGGGCTGTTGTTGCATGTTTCAGAATGGCACCATTATACAACCTGCCAAGGTAAATGGCTTAAAGCTTGATTTTTTCATAACTTTTATTTGCATTGTTTATTGAGTGCAAGTACTGTTTGTGTGTTTACCTACACGTTTGTTGACTGTTAGGTCTGTGTAATTTTGTGTAAGAGACAACAGCTGGTTAGTTATCAGCTAGTTCCTCACAGTAGCAAAATACTCATCTCAGGACAAACAACCAGAGTCAGAAAAGACCATAGGAATGACACTGCTTCAATACCAAAATGCTTCATTTTTGTCAGCTATTACTCTGTGTAGTTCCTCAAGTTATTTGTGAAAATTGTTAAGATGTTGCTGTTTCTGTCCATTTTTTGCCTCTGATTGGGTGCTCTTTTTACTCTTTGTTCTCCTGTTTTTGTGTTCTTTTCTCATTTTTTAATTGTGTTGCTCTTCTCCACTGTTGCATGAACACTTCATGCTCTGTAGCTTGTCTGGGGTAATCTTTAGCTACTATATCAGAACATTATATGTATCAAAGTGACTATTGCAGCAGAGCAGGCCAGAATGATGTTTTGGACTTGGGTTTTGCTCTGCTTCTTATTCCAGTTGAATGTAGATACCAAAAAGTCTGAGATAAAATGCATCTTGTGCCTCAATCCATCTACTGCTATAATAGAATATTAAGATCATGTGGCACTGGAGTGATTTCCTTTACCCTGTTCCTTCTCAAAAAATCTGTTTTTTATTCAGATGCAGGTTAAACATGTTTGTAATTAGGTTTGCTTCTCACTGTTTTTTGCCTTTCATGTTTAATATTTTAATTAAAAGATTTTTGGCAAAGTTTTGAAGAGTTGCATTGCATTGCATTTTAAAATGCCTTTATTAAAGCAAATTTACATGCTTGATGTAAAGGTCTATAGCTAAAGGTCTTTAACCAAATGTCTCTAGCTGTGCCACTAACATATTGGAAGAATATTAGGTTTCCACAAAACAAATGAAAAGCCAGTCATACCATAAAATCTACACATCCTTCCTTTACAGTAAGTAGTAGTTCTAGACATTAGTAACTTCTCTAAGTGGGTTATGAATCTTTATTTTTAATTCCCAAAAAAATCCGGTGTAACAATCATTGAAGAAGAACATTTACATTATCTGTAATTTTCATTTTAAAAATGTATGTGCTAAAAACTCGTAAAATTCATGGTAGATTTTGTGGTTCAGTTTATTCCTAATTTGAATATGAATGTGAAGCAAATCCATTCAGATATTTCATCTAGTAGATGCTAGAAATGAACTGTCATAAAACTATTTTGGCAATTAATTGTGGTGTCTGAACTTCATAACAGACAAGAGTGAAAAACACTTTGCACTTAGAATCCTAAAGTCATAGAATGGTTGGCGTTAGAAGGGACCTTTAAAGGTCAGCTAGTCTACCCTGCTCCAATGAGCAGCACTTCTAGGTATATTGCTCAAATGATAGGTTCAGACTAAAGTCTTAAATTTCACTAGACACTCATTTTTTTTTCTAGATAAATCATAGAATTCTGACAGGAAAATAAGGATATCACACTATTATGCACCTGTAGTGATCTCCATCATCTAAACTAGTTGTGTTGTTAAGACATATTTGAAGCCTAGGGAGATTATTTCAAGTGGGGTATTGTTCTGCCAATTGACGGGGGCACCAGAAATGACCCAGAACCAACAAAAAGAATAGGCTTTTTTTGCTATTGGTGTTTAAGTTAATAGAAAAATGAATAATGCAATTATTTATACAGTTAGTTTACAAAGCTGTAATTAAAGCAGCACAAACAGCAAACACAATAAGAAAGGTAATGCACCTTATCATCACTACACACAGGAAAGAATAGTGATTAAGAAAGATACATCACCACTTGCCCCAATACTTTACCATCACCCATATCTGCAATTGTTGGGGAGCCCCTGGTTGCAGTGAGGATTTGGAGAGCCTTTCCTGTAATTGGAAAGTCGATGCAGTGCGTTCACTTCTAGGCAAGGTGTCCAAAGTCACTGCAAGAGGGTCCATCTTTTATGGGCTGAATCAGCAAGCTAAAAAATAAGTTTATTTGTGGTCTTGTGTGGATAACACCCGGCGTTTCTCCCTTCTGACCAACCGAGGCTGGGGCTTGGCCAGAGCCCAGGACACGGGTGGTGGAGTTTCTTAAGATATCTTGCAGATGGCAGCATGGCTTTGGAAATACTTTGCAAGCAGACATATATATAGCCTATGTAAAAGTTATCACTTGTTTAGTCATCTATTTCAGCGTTAAAACAGCTGCATCTATGTTACTATGTATGTATCTACTTTCAGCAGTTTAGTTAACTAACACAAAAGAGCATTGATCACAAGAAGTACAGGATTCATCTCTAGGTCAGCTCTGGCTTGGGCCTATTGTCCAAGCCCTAGCATTTCAGGTATGATCAATTCTAGGAGCTATTTTAATCTCTTTGAACCAGATTTTCAAGAGCAGCTTTCTTTATCTTGTCTATTTCCTCACTTAATTGCAGCTTTGTATTGGGAGTGTTAGTTCTAACTTTGATGCTAGAATCAATTAATCTAAAGGGCAGTAAGCAAACACTATGGTGGTACCCTTTTGTTTATTCTAGAAAAGATGAATGTCTTCAGTGAGGAATGAGCTTACACTTTTGAAAATGTTCTGTATGTTTAGGTGGCTTTCAATGCAATTTAATTATAATATCGTAATTTAATTTCATTTTCTGCAAAATATATCCTTATATGTATCCATTTTTAAGAATTCCAGTAAAATGTTTCAGAAATTGAAATGTCTGTTGATATGCAGGTGTTTGTCAAATTACAGAAAAATTACTTTAACTTCTACCATAAATATTCCAAGAACACCCTTTTATGAAAAGTGCCTCTATGTAAAAAAGAAATAGTTATATTTTAAAATATTTTTATATTTCAAGGAATAAAACATCAGTTAAGTTAGGAAATACTTATCCTTCATGTTCTGTATTTATCAAATGTACATGGCTTTGAAAAAGTGTCTTAAGCTATGTATGTTTTCTCTGAGATGTGTCTGTGTTTGATGTTTTAAAGAAATTAATTTGAGAAAAAATTTGTCTTATTGTGTGTGATCTGTATATGCACATAGATACAGCAAAGTTGTACATGGCAATTTTTCATACACAGTTTACAAATACATTTTTTCTGACTACTTTATTGAATTTAACTTGTGCCTTTCTTCAATGAAAACCTATATGCTTTTCTTCAGACACAAAATTAGCAATTTCTTCCTGAGCACCTTTCAACGTGTTTGGCTGGAAAAAGTACATGAAAAAACTCAGTATGACAGGCTTATACTCAAGTTAACGGTAATGTAACTTGTGGAGAGCCTCTTGCTTATGCACACACTTCTTCCTTCCCAGCCATGAGTTGATGTTTTCATGAACACATGAGTTTGTACAATTTTCACTGGGGATTCTGATTGGTCAGTTCTTGAAATTTGATAATAAAATGGCACCTGTATCAGCAAGTGAGCCTAGAAGGTTGACTCAAAAGCTATTCCATTATAAAATAATAATTCATATGCACAGTGTAAACTGTATACTGTGGACAGTATTAAACTGTGTATATACAGCAAATTTGTATAGCCTTTTTTGATGGTACAGAATAAAAGTAAATGAAGATGCTACATAGAATAACCTTTCTAACCCCATGTACTACAGCTCAAACCAAAATTTTCCTTAAATGTAATGTAAAGATGAAATGGTTTGGCCATTATTATGTGTAGTCTTATTGCCATGAGCTGTATTTTCTGTGGAAAGTTGAATTAATGAATTGTGAGTGAATGATATTGTATAGTGAATGAATAAATAACTTAATAGTGAATGAATTGAAATAGTGAAATGATAGAATCAACTGGGTTGGAAGAGACCTCAAAGATCATCAAGTCCAACCCTACCGTCATTACTAGACCATGGCACTAAGTGCCACATC